CCAGAGGAGGGCCACTCGTATGATCAAGGGACAGCAGGGTAGGTCCTATGAGGAAAGGTTGCGGGACCTGAACCTGTTCAGCCTTCAAAAGAGAAGGCTGAGGGGGGATCTTGTGGCCTGTTATAAACTGGTTAGGGGGGATCAGCAGGCACTGGGGGAGTCCCTGTTCCCCCAAGCGCCGCAAGGAGTGACCAGGAACAACGGTCACAAGCTGGCAGAGGGAAGGTTTAAGTTGGACATCAGGAGGCGCTACTTCACGGTCAGGGCGGCTAGGGTCTGGAACCAGCTTCCAAGTGAGGTGGTGCAGGCTTCCACCCTGGGGGTTTTTAAGAGGAGGTTGGATGACCACCTTACTGGGGTCGTTTGACCCCGGTGCTCTTTCCTGCCATGGCAGGGGGTCGGACTGGATGATCTGCTCAGGTCCCTTCCAACCCTAGAAACTATGAAACTATGGCCCAGTTCTGTATCCCCAGGTAGAATGGCCATCTGTTGTTAAGCTTTGTGCTGTCTTATGTAACCTGGACTGTGGTTTTGCTGGTGCACACCCACTGGTAGCATGTAAATGATGTAGCCCCAAAAGCCATTATCCAACTTTTATTATTTTACTGCAAACTTTTATAAAACGTGGTGTTTAATAATTAGGGTTACAGTTCCACTGGTTAAAAATGTGTGCAAAATTGCATTCACTTCATGCACACACAGATATTGCAGGTCTACAGGTGGATCCACAGATATTGCTTGTGCAGTCATATTAATTAGTGCACTCCTTTTTTTTTCTGTGCGCGCAGCTGCAGGCAAGAAGTGTTGTAAATCAGGTCCCTAAAATTCGAAAGGTCCACATGTCATTCAGCCTGCACTGTTATAAATAGAAGTGTTTTGTAAAAAGCTTTGCTTTGCTCTACTTACTCTAGAGCAGGGGCGGGCAAGTATTTTGGGAGGAGGGCCACTTACTGAGTTTTGGCAAGCCATCGAAGGCCGCATGATAGGCAGCCAGGGGCAGATAAATACTAATTTTCTAAATTTTTTAGGGGTCCCGCAGGCTGGATGGAATGGGCTGGTGGGCTGTATCCAGCCCCTGGGCCGCATTTTGCCCACCCCTGCTCTAAAGCCATCCATGCAAAGAGTCACTGAAGGTACAGTACATACATTCTCACTCTGCGTGCCCCTTGGTAGCATGCTGTCTGGTCAGCATTAGCAGACAGCTGTCTTGCAGTGCGTGCAAACTCATTTTTATCTTCTCAACTTCCAGTAAACAATTTTTCAAATCCCTTTGTCCTAAGAGAAGTACTGGTACTCTGTTCGTGCCAGAGGCTCATGCGGTAAGACAGGGCTCCCTGCTTTTCCCATTCTAAAAACAAAATGAACATGAATTAATTTAAATTATAATAACAAGATATTCTGTTCATTTACACTTTCCAGGAACAAAAGCCTTTACGTTCAAAGAGAATAGCTGGCCTTTTTAGTCATGATTTACGATATTAAACTCTGTTGATTCAAAAACACCTTTCTAAACTAGGATCCTGGCAGGTTATCACTTTTCAACCAGAGTCCTGGTGGGTAGCAGATACTGTTTTTTGGCATCATATGCCATTGCTAGAATGATGGATTACTGAATCCAATTTTTTTCATCTACTTTATGGGAGGAAAAAAAAATACCAACAGCATAAATTGTGCCCATAAGGTGGTATCAGCCAGAAAAGAATTTTCCCCAGCCAGTTTTAAGAGTCCACATTTCATCTTATGTGTCAGCATTGGACATGCTCTCATTGGAGATCTATAGAGCATGCAGAAATATGCACTAATGTTTTGGTATATCGCTGTGGCTCCTGCCAGAGTTTTTTGTTTCTTGCACTCCAAGTGGCAGTTCCAGAAGCCAAGCAGATGTTCTTTTGCTTAGAAGGTGAAATCGCATCTATGAGATTTACCTCAGCAGCACAGTGTGTTTGCAGCCCAGTACTCCATTTCTGAGATCCTGCCGTCGAGGCATCAGAATGCAGCAAGCATTCCAGGCATGGCTCTCCCTCCACACTATTTATGGTTGTTTCATATCATGTGCCAGGAGGCTTGATAGCTGGACCAGAAGTCAGCAGACAGAAAACTCCTATATCTTCCTGATAAGATCCATGCCTGGAGGATCCTGACTCCTACCACCAAGTCTGCAATCCCTGTGGGGTTGTCAGCACTTCTCTGCTTGCTTACAATTGCTCCTCTGCTATCAGGTTGTTAAGCTTGTAGTCTGAACACAGAGACAAAGCTATCATTAAATTTGATTTTTTTTTTTTAAAGAGAAATGCATGTTGTTGCTGTGCCATAGGGCCCTAATCCAAAGATCACTCTGGATGCGCACTGTGTGCTAGGGTTGTCTGACCCCTGCAGTCTTTCCTGCCCAGGGCAGGGGGGCTAGACCCAATGATCTCACGAGGTCCCTTCCAGCCCTAAGCTTCTGTGAATAGGAAAAAAGATTCCCACTCACTTCAGCAGGCTTTGGATCAGTCCCATATTATGTTCAGATTTAATCCAATAATAAAACCAGATGTGAATATAGATATGCATATATGTACAGAACCAGATCAAGGGAGATGTTGAGCATCTGAAATGCCAGTTGATTTCAAGGACTGTTCAGCAGTTACCTGGATTTGGCGCACAGATTTTACCTGTCGTGCTCAAACGAAAGTGTTGGATATTACTGAATAGGAAACAGACCAAGAACTAGATTTGAAAAGGAAGAAAGGACCCTTTGAGTGCAGCAGAAATGTAATTGTACAACTATGCCATGAATGTGTAGTATTTAGCTGCAAAAGGCAAACATTCCAAATTAAGTGCTGTTTCAGTAGTAGAAGCTAAACTGCCTGACTTCTCTAAAATTTATATGAAGCCCTATACTTCAGACATGGTACCTACTTATTCTTGTCAGAATTATTGATTGCTGCTTATAGCATTGTCTGCCAGCCCCTTGATATTTATGACTATGTCAGCATTTCTATTATAAATCTCTTTCTCTGGGATTTATATCTTTGTCATAAAAATTTGCTCCAAGCTAAAGCTTGGAATTAGAAGGTTGCAGTCCTGGGCGCGTGCATGCATGTGTGTTTATGCGTGCACATCTTGATCTGGTTTTGCTTTTGTATGCTTTTATATATAGTTGTTAAAAATTGCTGTAATTGGTTCATCTGATTCTTGTTTTTATCTGCTAAAATGTTGTTTAAAATGTGTTTTAGCAAGTATTACTAATAAAATGCTATTTTTTATTTTTCCCATTTTTAAAGTGATTTTTAAATTATCTGAATATGAAGATTTTTTAGAGTTCTTTTATAAGATGTCTTGTTAATAAAATATTTAAAATATACAATTTACCTAAAATGTTGTGAATTATGTATAAAATAAAAGATTAATGCTTCGAGATAATGTACCAGTACGTTGGAATTATTACACAATGTAGGGTATGTAAGTCTTTTTTCAGGACTTTGATTTTAGATTGCCTAGTCTGTTACAGGGCAATACACTACATATCTTTTTACAAGATCTGTTATGTCAATTGTGTGTTGAATAAAGGCCTGAGTATGGATTTACATAATTTACACTAGAAAAAAACATTCATTGTGCCATATATACTGAGCAGCAGACTGCAACCACCATCCTGAAAACACATATTGATAAAAGAAGAGTAAACTAACAAAACAAAGCTTGCTATGCTATTTCTGTCTTTCGTAGCTGGCCAGCAAAAGGTATTTCAGACTGGTGTATGATGAGTATAACTGCAACTTTAAAGGAGATCCACATGAAAGTAGGACATTTTAGAAATAATTGTTCTCCATTATAAATTAAGACAGGATCAAAACGGCTAGAATCTTAGGACAGTTCAGACTAAGACTTGTCAGAGTCATCTTTCTGATGCTTTCAGTGGACTTTGAAACAGATCCTTGAAAATACATTTACCTTTCTGAGCCACGCACTGCTTTATATTGATTTTCCTGCAGTAACAGGAAATGACATTGTGGTTTCTCTGAAACTGCTGGTCTTTGTTCCCCGCTGCATCCATGGATAACTATTTAACACGTCATTTGGGAGAATCTTGGGGAAGTCCTTTGTTCAATGTCCAAGCCCTTTAACTCATGGCAGAAGAAGAGCACTTGGAAGCCTGGAAGGGTTAATATCTTACGCTGATTTACAATAATCATTATAATAATTTTATCCCAAATTTGGAGTACAGTGAAAGCTTAGGAGTAAAGGGTTTTATTACAGTCTTTTACATTTAAAAAAATTGTACTAACAGCTGCCATAGAAAAGGTTGGCCTTATCCATGTTTTTTCTGATTCCCAGGTTACTGTTGGTGGAGAGGAATGGCACTACATAGCCACACAAGGACCTTTGCCACACACATGCCATGACTTCTGGCAGATGGTATGGGAACAGGGGGTGAATGTTATAGCCATGGTCACAGCTGAAGAGGTATGTACAATTGCTGAGAGCATTTCTTTCTAAATGTGAAACTCTACCATAATCACTCTTACTCAGTCCAATAATCAATGTTGTTGGGATCCCCCCAGCAGACCTTTTATTGTCTCATTTTCTTCCCTCTGAACACTTGCCTGCACATAATCTAGTGCTGCAAAAAAGAAATTTGTAGCTCTCTAGTATTAGGTTCAGCATGTATTAAAGTTGTGGGTTTTTTTATGTTTTTTGGTATTTTTGTTTGTTTTTTTAAGGAAAAAACAGTAAGGCTTTAGTTTTGTTGGAATAATACTTTGATTTGCCAAACAAAACAGAGAGATTTCCACTGGAATTTGACAACCCTGAACTGCTCTTGGTTAAAATGACACATATTTTCTATCCATCCAAGGCCAGCTCTGCATACCATCGTTCTTATCGGCAGAAAGGAGACCAGAAGCTGCTGTTCCTGTAGAAATGTCCATTAAAAAATCTTTTTATTTGTTTGCCAAGCAAAACAGTTATTTCTATTGTAATCCAAGAAGTATGTGCTATGTTACAAGAACTGGCACAGGTTGCTAACAAACACTGAATTCAGCTTTGTGGCCTGCTGCCGTATGGGAACATAAGGATTGTCATATCACATCAGACCAGGGATCTCACTAGTCCTGTGTCTGATGCTGACCATTACCAGATATTTGGAGAAGAATCCTCATAATAGACAGTTACAGAATAACCTGTCACTAGGGGGAAATTCCTTCTGACATGTTACAGTCAGTGGTTGGCTTATGCCAGAGGTCTGTGTATACATGCCTCACTTTATTTTAGTTTATCTAGTTTATTTTTTATAAATGTTTAATTTCTAGTTCTTCTTCACTCTTGGACTCAGTGATAATCTGAATTCCACAGTGTAACTTTTATAAAATGTTGACTTTAAATTTAATTTCATTAGCTTTCATGGAATGCTCCTTGTTTTTGTGTTGTGAACAAGGATAAGTAGAACTTGGTTTACCTGTGTAAGTAGCCTTATGGACTCGGTTCCTGAGAATTTTGTAACTGTAACAATAGAAGACTAATCATTTTGGTTTTTTGTGTTTTTTTTCCCATTTGTGGTTCAGGAGGGAGGAAGAAGTAAGAGTCATCGTTACTGGCCTAAACTGGGCTCTAAGCACAGCTCAGCCACTTATGGGAAGTTCAAGGTGACAAATAAGTTCCGCACAGATTCTGGTTGCTATGCTACTACAGGTCTAAAAGTCAAACATCTTCTTTCTGGGCAAGAGAGGACAGTATGGCACCTGCAGTATACTGACTGGCCAGATCATGGTTGTCCAGAAGAAGTCCAAGGCTTTTTATGTAAGATTCCCTACTTAATGTGCACATTTTTCAGTCACTTAAAATCTTTCAGAAAAAATCTTATTTACTCTGGATTATAAACGTGCGGTACCGCAGAATTACTGTTGTTGTTTAACATGCATACTTATGGTAGCATCTGGAGATCTCAACCAGGTTGGCTTCCGTTGCAGCAAGCATTACAGAAAGCGATAGAAAATGACAGTCCCTGCTCCAGAGCTGACAACCTGCAACACCAGACATAACAGGATAAGAGAAAGGTCAGCACAAGAGCTGGAGAGATAGGGCAGTGAAGATGATAGAATATGCCCAGTTGTTAGTCAGGAGCAGTAATCACAGTACCTCCTCTGCTTGGTGTGTTATATTGGTGTAGTGGGGGAGGTATGCGGAGAGGTGGAATTCTCTCGTTTTTGTGAAAATGCAGCCACAGTATTTACTTGTATTAATCTAATACTGTCCCTTACTACTTTATTAGCAATTCAAATGCAGTGCCCCAGTAAGTAATGTGTGTTACTTATGTATTATTCTATGTTATGTTACTCTAATCATGCTGAGAACTGCACGCTGCTTGTAATTAATTGCATTACTACTCAAGCAGAATTGTCAGCTGTACCAAGGTATCCTACAAATTATTAATCAAGTTTTCATTCCATACATGCCCTGAACTCCCAACACCCTCCTCTACTGCTAAAAGCTTCTAATTGCTTATCTTGTTGTGTTTTGTTTTGTTTTTAATGCTGTGCCTCTTGTGAAGTTACATATTACACTTAGACCATACTAAGGGCACTTAAAACCCAAGCATCCCACCCAAGCTTGTTAACTCATGCCAAGTGCCGTCTGAGCATCTCTAGATTACACCACTTCAGGGGAGGGTTGGCTCTGGGTTCATGCTACCCAGCTCAGTTTAGAGTAACTTGAGTCTTCTCCACAGTGATAAAAAGAGCATTTGCAGTCCTCTAGCATCCCAGGATGCACTGCTCCCAGGTCCCCCTCTCCTCCAAATCTGGGATGAATCTCAGGAGTCCTGGCTTCTAGCCATCCTTCTGCTTACCAGCGCTCTAATGGCAAGTCAGAACTGTGCAGGGAAGAAATAGTATTAACCATTAAACAGCATGTTCTAACCTTAACACTGCTTAACGTTCCACAGATTTAGTGTGGTCTAAGTGTAACGTGTAACTTCACCCTTATAACACCCCCCCCACAGCTCTTGAAATATTTGTAGTCAGAACATAGCTGTCCCCTTTTCCCTGAAGAGAGGGCACAGTGCAACACAGCCTTGTATGGAATGAACTTGTTTCCATGTGTGCAAAGTAGTCATAAAATGCTAACTTCCTGACTGCAATTGTTTTCCACCAAGTTTGCACAGTGTAGTGGCAAATTGGTCCCAGGAGCTTTGTTTGTGTTGTTCATCCAGCTCCTGCTGGAACAACCTGGAGAGAGGTTCAGCAAAGAACCTGACTAGTTCAGGGGTGGACAAAATGCGGCAGTTGGGCCAAATGCGGCCTGCCAGGCCATTCTGTTTGGCCCATGGGGCCCCTAAAAAATGTAGAAAATTAATATTTATCTGCCCCTGACTGCCTGTCATGCGGCCCTCGATAGCTTGCCAAACTTGACTCAGTAAGTGGCCCTCCACCCGAAATAACTTCTTGCCTCTGCTGTAGTTCTTGTGTATTTAGCCAGGCATCTGAGTCTATCGGTATGCTAAGCATTTATCTATGTATGCTCTCTCTCTCTCTCTCTCTCTCTCTCTCTCT